AGATATTACTGTACATTTAATTTTGATCTTTTACATGTTATGAAATATCTATTTTCGTAGTCCGCCATTTGTTTCTTTTATTGAAATAAATACCATTTTGTGAACTTCTGCAAATATAATTATTAAGTTCGTATTTTATATACTGGGCTTGTAACCTTGAATCATAAAATTGAATCATAAATCATGATAAAATGTACACGTTAAACGTCATTACAGAAATACATTGTAGTGGTAGTGTTTTTTTTTTTTTAAATAGAGCTATTGAATTTAAATAAATATTGATCAATACATTATAAAGTGGTAGGACTAATGTATTCGTGGATTGCATTACAAATTTGTATATGCATAAATACAACTTGTAAATTTCTGTTATCGTAGGTTATTAGTTAGAAGTCGGGTCATCCTCTTAATTTTGTTAAATAATATTAATTTTACGTCTTTCAGTAGGCCTACTTTTTAAAAGTGTGGATTTTTTATGGTTCTAAATGGACCCAGTCGTTCTTGTTTGTTATCATTTTTATGAATGGTGGCCATAGCTAAAATTACCTGATCTTATCCAAAAACAAAGCTATAGTCTATTGAGTAGCTCAGTAACGGGGAACAGGGAACCGAGCAATGGCTTAGTATAGTTTATTTCGATTGTGAAAGCAATATAAAGGAAACCCAACACTCAAATCAGGAAAATCCGTCAAGTCGTTGATTAAAAATCGTGAATTAAAATAAACCTTTCACGTTTTATTATATGAATATTATATCTTCTCCTATTATTTACTAGTGATGCTTAGGTGTACAATCTAAAAACTGTTTTAAAACATGTAACATTATTACTAAAAAATTCAACCCATTTTAGAATTAGGCAACTATTTACTAGTAGGCCTAAAATGCTTTGGTTTAAACCATTAGGCCTACAGCTATTCTATAAGTTGATATGAAACTTGGTCTATGTCATATTTGTACAGGTTGGACGATTCAACGACGAATATTTAATTTTAAGTCTATGAATTAGTTATGAAAGTTACGATGGTTGATGAATGTATTAATTAATAGTTTTGGTTTATTACGACATTACGATAAAATTTGTTTTCCGTGTTTGAGAACTTGCGTGTATTTTAGCTTAATTTCGTAGAGGTTTAATTATTTAGTACCTATTAAACTGAATTTTAAATATTTTTCATATTATATAATTTTCTTTTATACTGATGGCATTTATATTTAAGATCGAAATCATAAACATTTAATTAGCCATTGTACAGTAAATAAAAATAAAAAACATTTTTTCATGATTTTTTTATTGTCTTTGAAATTGATAACAAAAAACAATAACATTTACTGTATCTTCATTGACACTTACATTTTGAAATACGGCAGTGTACGAGTATTTCGTCGAACAAGGTTGGCAACGCTCCGTGCAGTGGGCGCGGCCGGGTTAGCGACTTCCAGAGTTAGCGAATTCCGCCGTGAGACAAAATCGAGTTAGCGGGTTCCGGAGTTAGCCAATTCCTGACTGAGACGGTTAGCCAGTTCCAGAGTTAGCCAGTTCCGACACACGACCGAGTTAGTGAGTTCCTGAGTTAGCCAATTCCTACGTCTCGTTCAGAGCGCCCCTCAGGCGCCCCCCAACCACCGGCGCCCCTGGGCATATGCCCAGTCTGCCCGTTTATAAAAGTGGGCCTGACAACTGGAGGCACATTGTTGGGAGGCCATAAACCTACTTCGATTTGAATGGCCACAGCGGTAAGGTATAAGGTAATATGTGATTGGATATGAGAATGAAATAGTTATTTGTGTAACTAGTGGGCAAAGTGGCACTTTGCTCGGCTCGTGCGGAATGATCTCGAGTGCAGCAAAGGCCTTTTGCACTCATTTTACACATTATATTTTTCCTACAGTCACTATAAAGCGTACAAATAATTAAGTCTTTCAAACACTATACACGTTTTTAGGTTCAGCTGGCAACACAAATAGGTGCCCTAGAGAAAGTAGTCACCGTAAAAAAAAAAGAAAGTAGATTTTGTCCGTATCACTACGCTATTTTTTCCTCGGCAATCAATGTGCTCCGCGACTTGAGAAAATAGTTCTGTATATTTTTGTAATTTGCAGCATATTTTTGTATATATATATCGTATATTTTTGTAATTGTTTCCGCGCCTAAAAAAATGCTTTAAAGGTATTTTCTTGTTTATTAAGATCGTAGGAATGTTTTAAAAACGTTTAAAAGAAAAGTCCAGAAAGTTCAGAAATACCAAAACTAGTGATGGGCGGATCCAAGACAATGTCGGTACCGGATCCGGATCTTGAAAAATTCGGATCCTGATCTTCAGATCCGGATCCAGATACACACTGTCATAAGGGCGGGTTAAAAAATACATAATTAACAGAATGCCAATTTAAATCATACTTTTATTATTTTTTATCACAAACCATCGGGGGAAATTGACATACTAACAGGATATTTTCGAGACGAGATTATAGGCCATTAGCTTATCATCCAGGTACAAAACTAAAAACTAGAGGTGTGCAGATATCCGAAGAATCGGGTCGGATTCGGTTCGAAAAGATACATGCCATTGCCATATATGTTATTTATTTGTATTAGGAGACAAACAATTACCAAGCCAAAAATGTGGTTCGGATTCCAGTATAAACTGTAGGTCCCTTAGTTGCCATTAGCTGTATGGGCTATTAATTAACAGCTGTGTCTAAGAAATGTCGGCCTTAGTTGATGTTGCTTTATCAAGACTACAAGATCGCGCCATTCATCCTACACTCATCTCCATCCATACTTGGCTTAAAATACCTACTTTGTATGGTCGCCATTTCATAGAACAGTATAACAGTATAAGAACATGGCCTTGCCATATAAGTTATTTGCATCAAGAGACAAACACTGAGACATGGCCTTGCCATATATGTTATTTGCATCAAGAGAAGAACCCTGAGACATGGCCTTGCCATATAAGGTATTTGCACCAAGAGACAAACACTAAGACATGACCTTGCCAAGTAAGTTATTTGCATCAAAAGACAAACACTGAGTCATGGTATTGCCATATAGGTTTTTTGCAACAAGAGACAAACACTGAGACATGGTCTCGCCATATAAGTTCTTTGCATCAAGAGCTAAACAATGAGACATGGCCTTGCCATATAAGTTATTTGCATCAAGAGACAAACACTGAGACATAGCCTTGCCATATAAGTTATTTGCATCATGAGACAAACACTGAGACATGGCCTTGCCTTATAATTATTTGCATCAAGAGACAAACACTGAGACATGGCCTTGCCATATAAGTTATTTGCATCATGAGACAAACACTGAGACATGGCCTTGCCATATAAGTTATTTGCATCAAGAGGCGAACAACGAGACATGGCCTTGCCTTATAATTATTTGCATCAATAGGCAAACACTGAGACATAGCCTTGCCATACAAGTTATTTACATCTAGATACAAACATCGAGACATGGCCTTGCCATATGTTTGCATCAAGAGGCAAACACTCGGGGAAAAAAACGGTCTTGTACATGGATACAGACAGCTTTGTGTTAGTAAAAAAAAATCGGGGTTGTACAGTGATACAGATAGCTTTGTGTTTTGTACAGTGATACGGAGAGCTTTATGTTAGTAAACAAATCGGGGTTGTACAGTGATACAGACAGCTTCGTGCTTGTAAAAACATTCGTGGTTGTACAGTGATACAGACAGCTTTATGTTAGTAAACAAATCGGGGTTGTACAGTGATACAGACTGCTTTGTGTTAGAAAACAAATCGTGGGAAAATCGGTCTCTTACATGGATACAGACAGCTTTATGTTACTAAACAAATCGGGGTTGTATAGTGATACAGACAGCATTGTGTTTAGTAAACAAATCGGGGTTGTACAGACAGACAGCTTTGTGTTTAGTAAACAAATTAGGGATGTACAGTGATACAGACTGCTTTGTGTTGGTAAACAAATCGGGGTTGTACAGTGATACAGACAGCTTTGTGTTAGGAAAAAAATCGGGAAAAAATCGGATCCAGTCCAAGATCCAGCGGTTCTAGCTCGGATCCGGCGTATCCGGTAGTCCGATATCCGGATCCGACCATCACTAACCGAAACTATAAACATGAAATGACAGGTTAAATCATAGTTATAATAGTCAATCAGCTGCTCATAGTATTATTATCTTTAAGTGTTAACCTATTTCCAAGCGTACACGGATTACGTGCATAATAGAACCACGCTGCAGTGCCAGGGGGGTCCAGACCCCCCCTTCCGGTCTTAAATATAGGCCTAATATTATTTTGTTAAATTAAATGTAAAATTATATAATAAATCATCCTGTATTGACGTTGGGGTTGGTTATTTTCAATGCCAAGAGAGCTCAAAAAAGCCCGTTTTGGGGCCTATATTTTAAAAATTTTTCCCGAACCCCCCGGTCGGTCGGCCCCTCTATTTAGAAATCCTGGCTACGTTCTACATGCTGTTTTGTGTTGTTTCGTTGGAATGGAATCCTGATGTGCGCCAAAGTATAAACAGTACGACAAAGTATAAATATGCAGCAATTAGCAGCTTTCTGTACTATAAACAGTACAAGGAAGCCAACTTTGTCGGGGGACTGTAGGGAAAATTAGTTTTAAGGTTGATAATAATTTTAAATACAACACCAATCAAGTAAATGCATTGACTTTGGATACTGCTAGGAGACATCCCGTTTACATAAATGTAGTTAAACAATTTTTGATTCCACTTGAATAAAACTATTTTGGGGCACCTGCTAGAAGTCAGAAGAAAATCATAAATGTAAGCATAGCTTGATATGCATGTCAAATTAAAGGTATTTATTAGTGGAATACGATACCACAAACCAGAACTCAAACGAACCACTAAGTAAAAAGTTGGAGCTGTTCAATGATTTAAAATGATAAATTCAAGAAATCTTTCAACGGCTGCCATTTTACTCGGTATATTTTTAATTATTTTAGATTGGGATTCAAAAAATAAAGACAAATGTTATTGAACAGAAATGTATTTAAAAAGAATATGGTAGATCATTTACACATCTTGGGGTCCTATTTACACATTCCTTCTTATAAGTAAAAATCTAACTATGTACAAAATTCAAGATCACTTAAAATGTAGACAAACTATTAAAGTGAAATGGAAATGAACAATAAAGTGTAAACTAAGTATGAAACACAGCCATATTTTCTAAAAGTCTTAAGCATAAACATCCTCCCTATCTGCACCGACTCCATCTCCATCTTCTAAGGAAGAGAAGTTCAAGAAGTGAGCAGGTCGGTGTACCTCATGGTAGAACTCTTTGGGGTTGGCTAATTGAAGTTCATACTTCATGTTGGGGTCATGTCTCACACCTGTAAGTTTAGATCCATGTCAAAAAACTTAGTTTTAATTTTGTACTTAATATTAACAGCCTAAGTTAAATTGTTCTCTGGAATATTAATTAAGATATAATGCTTACAGTTGAGTGTGATAAACAATCCCACCCTTGAGATGGACGCAAGCCTCTCAGGAGGAGAAGGGATTTGTGGCTACCCTTATCTCGGGAGTACTGTGATCAGTTTATCTGTGTTATGTTTTTTAGTCAATGCATTCAATGTGACAAAAGTTTTCCTTTTAAGCCATCCTAACACTTTATAATGGAACTTAAGTCAAAGAAGTTGTTGATTAAATTAGTAGGTCTTTGAATTAGTTGGTGATTCAGATTTTATTACAATCTGAAAATAGATCTCAAATAATATAAAAAGTATTATATATAAAATGTACTACTACTACTTACTAATACTTTGATACTAACTACTATACTCCAATGATGAGCTTACCCATGAAGTTGTAGTTCCAAGAACCCTGAGATGGAACCATGAAGAAGCCCAGGAAGCGGTCCGACAACAGCATCTGGACTTTCTCATAGTGGCTGGGCAGATATCCTTTGGGGTTATTGCCTTTGTCTGTGTTCTGCCGACCCCATTCAAAGCCGCTGTTAACATTAAACAAGTTGCTAAAATTCATTCATGTAACAGGTAACTTGAGCTGATCTTTTGACCTATTCTAGGCTTGAAATCAGCTATACTTAGACACAACTTCGGTCATGTACATGTAGAGCATCATCATCACCGTCCCAAATTCTTGAAAACTTCAACATTGTCCTTCACAATTGTGGCAAAAGCTTTAGTGTTGTTATTATTATCTAAATGTTATTTTAATGGGGATTAAATCTAACATCTTTAGGAGATATTTCAGAGGAAATCTAATCAGGCAAATGGAAATTCCTTTAGTCAGGGGTATAACAATGTGGTTTGGTTGGAGTGGGCTTACCTTGGTGTGAGTTTGTAGGCTGTGAGAGAGCACGAGCCTGGAGTGAAGCTGCAAGTTATGACCACAGTCTTCTCTCCATCCCAGGAGGAGTTCTCAGCCATGACCTTGGCGTGGGTGGTGATGTCCTGGGGAGAGAGTTGGGGCAACTCGTTGGGCTGAGTGTGAATCCAACCTAGAGGCTCCATCTCCTTGAGGTACTGGTGTCCTGGCAGCTGGTGGGGCAAGTGAACTGTTTGGTGAGTGCCCCACTGTGGTGGCATCACGATACAGCGGATCTCCTTTACCTGTGGGTTGTCTGTGGGGCTGTGGCCGTACAAGTACCCAGCAATCTACAATGAACATACCTCACTTCAAATACTACATACAACTAAAATTACATCTGACTTTTAGCTGTAATATGTAGATCTATAAAACTAAAAAGGATCACACACAAACATTTGAATAAACCGTAAGCCGCCCCCGCACACCTATTAACATTCACACAGTATTTATTTATCGTATTATTTATTGAACTAAAAACATAAACATAACTGTAAACAATCCTACTTTGACAGGTCTCATTTGTATCACAGCTTTTTGTTGCTGATTAGTTCAATTTGGCTGTTATAATTGCAAAAAAATTAACGGTATCAGCAATCTAACAAATACTTTCTCCCATTAGCTTGTCAACAAACTTTATCATGGGTAAGCGATGAGAGTAACTATGAATTTAATAGACAAAATCACATAAGTTGCATTAACTTTTTTGATTTGTAATTTTTACAAGAACAGGGGGGGTTTGCCCTGTTCTGTTTAAAATTATTAGTACTATAACAGAAGAATTTCAACCAGAACCAATTTTTTAACAAATATATTTTTTTTTGTTTTTCATGAGTTTTTATTGGAAAATTACATAAGACAATAACTTTTGAATAGGGCTCTGCAGTACAGAAAATTTATGGTTGTACGGTTCGGTACGGTACGCGGCTACCAGTAATTTTGCAGTTTTCTCCGGAAAGAAACATTTTAAGATGGCTTTACCTATGTTCCTACTAATATAAGACATAACCATGATAAAGATTTTTTTAAAATTAGTTTAACCATTTTTATGAATAAATATTTTGTTTGAAACAACAATTTGATAAGATAGTTTCACACAACTACATGGTAAATTATTTTCAACTAGGCCTAAACACAATAACTGGGTGTTCCTTTTATCTTAGGCTGAATTCAATTTTCTTAGTATATTTTAAAGCTCTTCCAAAGAATCAAAAGACCCAGGCCTAGACCTTATTATTTAGATATATAAATATAAATGTTATTAGAAAATTTTGTAAGATTTCTTATATTATCATATACCACATTCAAAATTATTCCAAACAAAAATTGCGGTTTCCAATACTTATGTGATTTAAAAGCCATAAAGGTTTATCAAATAAAATGGTATGGTTGAATTTTATTTCTAAAAGTGTTGGCAGATGTCTAAAATATTTTATACAACATATATTAAGATTAAATTTTTCTATTTCATCCTGTTACGGGTACAACAGCTGTGCTAGTAAAATATAAAACTCATAAAAATGATGTTGTTATCAATAAGTGATGATAAAAGTTTGCTGATAGGCTAAATAATGCTTAGTAGTCTCCAATGGGGTGATTAATAACCATGGCAACTTTTTGATGTGTGGATGAAGGGGCGTAATAAAGATCAATAACCTAAAATGTCATGATTACGCAATGTTAAATAAATGTAAATCATGGCATTAATTTAATTTGAATATTACTCCTGATCCCTAGCATTTCATATAAAATCAATTGATAAATATTTGTGGTTAGCTCAAAATATATACTTCATGGTTCAAAGTTTCTACACAAAGAAAAGAAAATCTATCTATTTTGGATCTCCTTAGTCCAGTGTACTAACCGAGCTATTTTGAAACAAAATCGAAGTAGAACACCTATGGTCTGATAAGAACCGCCAGAAAGATCCTGGACGTAACAATAACAAAACATACCAACAATTTCACTTTCAATATCTACAGGAAACCAACCACAACTGACAAAACGATCCATTCTTCATCCCATCATTCATACAGTCAAAAAATGGCTGCATATAATAGATTTGTTCATCGACTTATTTCTCTACCTCTTAATGAAGACAGTTATAACGAGGAACTTAACATCATAAAACACATAGCAGTATCTAATGGATATATAAGCTCCATCATAGACAAGATAGTAATTAAACATAAAAATGTTCTTTTTCAAGGCATAGTCAAGTCCCTTCTTGTACCGTTATCGAGCTACAGTCGTTTCAATGCATAGCGCGTTCCGCCATCTTTGCCCCCCTCCCCCCAAGGTCTCGACCACCTGAAAAGTAGGGGACATGCGTATTTTTTATCACCACAGTCCATATTACAACTATCAGCAAAGCTGTTTGATATTACTTCTTTGCGACACTCACAAATTAATTCTACTTTCGGTAAAAAAAACTACACGAAAAGTCCATTTTTACATATTTTATACAATAACTTGTTTATTTATAGAGATATGACATCGGACCCAATAACCATTATTGTAGTCCACATTTTTAGAATTACAAGGACGTTTTAACCGATGTTCTATCTTTTACCGTTTTTGAAATATCAGCGTTTTAACGCATAGCGCAAACCGCCATGTTTGCCCCCTCCCCCCCACCTTATCGACCACTTTTGAAATAGGCGACATACGTAATTTTGATCACCACAGTCCATATTACAATAATCAGCAATAACATTGCGTACTACTTTCATGCATGCTCAAATCCCCTCAGCTCCTGGACTACCATGGCAACTTGTTGAATGCGTGAATGAAGGGAAACCCCAGAAAGAATGAAGGAATAATGACTTTGTATGTTGTTATCTGTATGAGTTATCTAATGTTTTATAACTATGTTATTAATGTTATAACTTATGGACATGTAGAAAACTCTCTTTTCCTTAGTTGAAAATGCTGTCAGTGACAGTGAAATATTCTAATGTTTTGTGTATATAGTTGTAAATTTTTGTGTTTCCTGTGCCAGTTTGGACTCTTTCCCATTCAGGTAAGCCTGCTACCCTCTCAAAAAATCCTAATGTTTTATAGGCTTACAAAATATTAGTTTTCAACTACAACAATTACAATTATGCTTCTCTTCTGAAACAACACAACTAGATGCGTAATAAAGGCCATTGACCTAAATATAATGATTGTGCAATGTTGTATTTTGATGTAAAAATGCAAATTTGAATATATTTGTAGTTAATTCAAAGTTTCTACACGGAAAAAGAGAATCTGAAGTCAAACCGCCGGGCAAAGGATTCCCGAAAATACAACCTTGTATCATTGTCCTGCTATTAGAATCCCCGGCCAAGCCAGCCCTCTAGTCTAAATATAGCTTCAAGATTGCACCCTCCCCTCCCCCCTAGCATTCTCCATTCGCTGTGGCCAGCTCCTTTCAAGGTTATTGTCCAACCCCTCCCACCCTTCTATTGTTTTGCATTTCTAGTATTTCTATTCTTTTAACTCAAACATTAAAGATTACATTAAGACTTTTTCTTTAAACATTAAATTAAATAAATCATGGAAGTCATAAGGGAATAAAAATGATAAAACTTTAATGAGCTAAACTACTGACTCATCGACATGATTTCGTTCCAATGGAATTACATATACGACACTACAATTAAGATACTGAAGCTAGGGACCAGGGCAGACCCTAGGGTTGGTGGCGCCCGGAGCAAACGTGGTCGTGGCGCCCCCTCCCCCCCAGCAGTAATAGTCGCATTTGCATATTTTAATACTATGTTAATACAAATAGCCACTGCGCGGCGCCCCCTCAGCCACGGCAGCTTGCCCTGTTTGCCCCCCCCCCCCTTCGGACGGCCCTGCTAGGGACAGTTGTGAATGAAACTATCAGCTGACCGGGAAATCCAGGCACGACGTCATCAATGATCACGCTGATCCTGACCAGTAGTCTAGACATAACTCCCGCCCGATCACGTTGTGTCCCTTAGGTACGGACCGTTTCAGTATTTTTAGCACTAAATGTTCGAATTTATGTCTGTGTACGTGTTTGTGTTTTGTTTATTTATTTATTATCTATTGACGACCTTCGAATGAAGCGAGAAGACATCATTAAACAGCCTGAAGATGACTCATATGCGAGTTGAAACCGGTAGCAGCTCAGCTACAAACAGGATCGCATAAATGCAGGCATTTACACAAATTTATAGTATTTAAATGTGACCAGGAGGCTAAAATTCAATATAATGAAAATCTAACGTCAAACTGGGCAAGGGATTCCTGAAAAACAACTTTGTATCATTGTCCTGCTCTTAGAATCCCCTGCCACGCCAGCCCTGTGGTGCAAGTCTAAATATAGCTTCAAGGTTCATCGCCCTAAACAAACATCTGATAAACCTTTTTATGTGCTCCTAACCAACCACTAATATAGTGAACTGAAAGTAATTAATTATTATAGGTTGTAACAAGTAAAATACTGTACCGAACCATAGGCCAAAACAGACTTTTACGGTGCACCGCAGACCCCTACTTTGTACTGTGTTTAGGTCGTATATTGGCTTGATTTTAAACATATGCTATGATTTTTTGTTTTGTTTACATTCACGTAATTTTCTAACCTTCATGGCAACCCTTAAGGCCAATGTTAAAAATTAAAAACTGTTGAGTTACTTTTAAATTATATAGGCATTATCAAAAATTGAAATTGTTTCATATTAAGTCTGGCTAAAATATATTGAGTAAAAGTGTTAGAAAGTTTGCATTGAAGCAGATCCCAAAGAGCTTCGCTTCGCTCCGCTCAATAATATTAGTATGAATATGATAAGTCAGATGCAACATTCAATTTTATTTATATTTGGATTTTTTTGAGAGGATAGCAGGCTTACCTGAATGGGAAAGAGTCCAAACTGGCACAGGAAACACAAAACATAACTTTACACTATATACACAAAACATTAGAATATTTCACTGTCACTGACAGCATTTTCAACTAAGGAAGAGAGAGTTTTTTAGATGTCCAAAATGGTGGCCAGTGAGTTGTTGAGTCAGTGTTGCCAATAGTAGAATTCAAAAAACATTTTCAGTTTATCTTATATGCACTATATATATGAATAAATATGTAAGCCTGCTAGTTGGGTTGGATTTTGAAGTGGAGTGGGTTAGATGAAAGGTATTATCTAAGGTTTAGGTTTGGGGGTTGTCTAGACTTAGTAAACCATTGGTAGGACAGTTCCCATCTTCTAAGTTGTGACTGGTTACATTGAGGAGGTAGTGATTTGACTATTTTGGTTGTAAAGCAGTCATTGAAACTAGGGTTGTTGTGGCTCTGGGCATGTTGTACAACTGGTTTGTCTTTGTATCCAGTAGATACATCTTGTCTATGGCCATTACTCTGGTTCTGAGGCCATAGACAAGATGTATCTACTGGATACAAAGACAAACCAGTTGTACAACATGCCCAGAGCCACAACAACCCTAGTTTCAATGACTGCTTTACAACCAAAATAGTCAAATCACTACCTCCTCAATGTAACCAGTCACAACTTAGAAGATGGGAACTGTCCTACCAATGGTTTACTAAGTCTAGACAACCCCCAAACCTAAACCTTAGATAATACCTTTCATCTAACCCACTCCACTTCAAAATCCAACCCAACTAGCAGGCTTACATATTTATTCATATATATAGTGCATATAAGATAAACTGAAAATGTTTTTTGAATTCTACTATTGGCAACACTGACTCAACAACTCACTGGCCACCATTTTGGACATCTAAAAAACTCTCTCTTCCTTAGTTGAAAATGCTGTCAGTGACAGTGAAATATTCTAATGTTTTGTGTATATAGTGTAAAGTTATGTTTTGTGTTTCCTGTGCCAGTTTGGACTCTTTCCCATTCAGGTAAGCCTGCTATCCTCTCAAAAAAATCCTAAAAAATCTAGGCCCTTGTGCTCTATGCTACACCTTTATTTATATTTGTTCGGCTTTTCCCTTGATTAACCTTTTGATTCTCCCACACAGCTTATTGATAATACATAAGATTTCTTAATTTAAATAAGCAATGCTTTTTGCCTCTATGACCAAAGTTAGTTTCTTGTAACTATTTCCTTTAGTACATAAAAAACAACATATTACCATCTGTATTCTCATTGAGATTGCAATAACGTAGGCTATTACTATTAGGCAGTGATTTTGATGAAGGTATATTTGAGCTGTTACTAAACAACTTTTTGTTCAACATTGCAATAGAAAACTCCTCGAGTGATTGTTGCAACATTTTAAATATCTTAACATTCTTATTCCTAAGGAGTTAGTTAGAACTGGCTTTATTTATGTAAAAACGTAGACTAAACTGCTTCCAAAAACACTATGAATTTTTACACAATTTGATGCAAAATGTAGATCTATCCCCCTTTTTAAAGTAATTTTTTTCACCTGGGCCCTGAGGTCAGAAATGGTGACAAACTTCTTGAGAACATTCTTGGGCAGGATGTAGGTGTAACCAGTCTCCTTGATGTCATCAGAGGACACGTAAATGTGGTTTGTTCGCAGATGCAGATTGGTGGCAGATATAGCTCTCACTCGCCACTCTGTCTTGGAGCTGCACAACCAGACATACAATCAATTAAAATTATCCTTTGTAATCTAATTCTGAAGTAAGCTAGGCTGTACATAAATACAAAAAATAAGCTGGATGTTTGGTAAATTTACTTAGTAGGCATTTGAATGCTGAGTAATAGTTAAGAAATTTGGACTTTGTCCTGAGTATACAAAATGGAAAAACAACTGGGAAATAAAAAAAAAAAACAATTGAGGAGAGAAATGTTGTAATATACAGGGTGGGGAAAAAGTCCTGGGACGGTTAAATATCTAAAAAAATAATAGAGATAGAGCTTTAAAACTTGAAGCACAGTTACTGGACATTAACATAATTTTAACACATGATTCAGTGATACACTACCTCTTCAGGGGGACGGCCCACTAGGAGTTAAAATAAAATTTTAAATGTGAGCATAGGTTGACATGCACATCGAATTAAAGGTCTTACCAGTAGAATACAATGCCGCAAACTTAAACTGAAACGGACAACTGAGTTAAAAATGGCAGCAGTGCAATGAATTCTTGAATCTGCCATTTTGAATCTTTGAACGGCTGCCATTTTATACTCAAATGTTCTTTTGAACCTGAATAGAATTCTTTTGAAATGTCTTCTACGAATAGAGACCTTTAATTTGATGTGCATATCGACCTATGCACACGTTGATTTTCTTCCAACTTCTAGCGGGCAATAGCAGGTGGTAGCGTATAATAGCAATGCAAATTTAATGCATCTCTGAATGGCTGTAATTTTTGACCCGGTTGTCTCAGTTCGGATTTGCGGCATTGTATTTTACAAACAAAGAACTTTAATTCGATGTGCATATCAACCTATGAGTACATTTAAGATTTTCTTCTGACTCCTAGTGGGCCGTTGTTCCCTTGAAGAGATAGCGCATCTTTGAATAATGTTTTAAAATGATCTTAATACCCAGAGTAACTGTGTACTAAGTTTTGAAGCTTTATATTACATTTTGAAATATTTAACCGTCCCGAGACTTTTTCCCCACCCTGTATACAAAATACATTATGGTCTGTAAATCTGATTCTGAGGAGCAAACGTTACTACCCACCTGAAAGTCTGAGTCTCATAGTTTGACGTGGTAGATGTGATGATCTCATCCCCATGCTTGTTGACAGTCCGTGTAGTAGTAGCTGTCAACTGACTCTGCTCCTTGGTCTGCTTCTCTATCTCTGCGATCTGTTGTCGCTGAGCCGACGGTGCACTGATCTCCATACCCAGAATGATGTCTCGTATCTCAGACTGTGTTAGTGAGGCTACATTGACACTGCAATACAACGTAACATGGAGTATAATATATTCCCTCAGTTAGGAAGTTAATAAGCTACAAAAGCCTAATCTCAATTTCTGTCTGTAGACTTGGATTCAAGAGTTTCACATGAAAACATAAACAAGATCACTGTTTACAAGAAGACAGTCTTTCTCTGTGTGGTTGAGAAAGTTATTATTTTCAGCCCAGCATTGCCTGTTGGAATTAGGGGGATTTTGAGAAAACTTGTTTAGCTATAAACATATGGAAAGGTTTGGGGGTACCTGCAAAATTTAATTTAAGGCTCCACTATTATCAGTGGGGTAAAATTTGGTGGTAATATCACAGATATAAGCTTTCTAAGAATAGTAGCTTAGCAAGTACATTATTCAAATAAGCATGTTTGTGTTAGTGATTACTGGCTAGGACTTACTTGTTCTTCTTGCCGTAGTCAGCAAGTATGAGATCCTTTAGTTGAACTTCCACCTTGATCCACTCATCGTCTGTGAGTGTAGGCCATATGTGATGAGGCTCAGTGATGGTGGTCTTGTCAGGCTTCAAGATGACCTTAGTTCTCTCAGTGTTGACGTGAAGTGCTCGCAGGATCAGAATCAAACGGGAGAATGCAGTGTAAGACGAGATGGTCTTGAGCCAGTCATCGTACAGATTGAATAGTACCATCTGAGGTTCAGTGGCTTTCAATATCAGATCTCCAAACTTCTCTACCTTCAGGCACGCTTGGAAGGGAAGCTGCAGTTCTGAACCCTTGATGACGATGTTGGGGAAATCCAGCAAGTGCACCTCGAGAGGATCCAACATGCCTTTCCTGGTGACAATGATTTGTTTAGGCTGTTCTTCCACAGGCAGTGATCGGATCAGGGCTGCGACTTCCTCAGCTGTCTTCCACTTGGCCAACTGTCCCAAACGTTTTTGTCCTGCCCAGACTGATGTGTGGATAATTTTCAAAAACAGTTGTCCGGTTCTGGGGTTGAATATGAAGATGGCTCCGTTGATGGGTTTAGTGGTTAAATTACCCTCAAATGTCTTGTGTATTGTCACTCTGTACACATTGGTGTCATCCACAAACCTATAAATAAAAGGTATACAAAAACTAGAAAATTTGATTTTCAAGTTATTAGCAAGTAACTGTTAGACCTTAAGATACAAATGACAGCAGCTGAATGGCAAATTACAACTGTAGAAAATAAACATTAACTCACTCTTATAACTTTTATCATAGACCAACAAAAGTAAGATTCCTCATCCCATTGTAAATTTTGAAGCTAGTTTTTCATGTCTAGAACTTGTTGGTGACACTGATTACAAAATTTTGTTTCTATAATTTCAGGGTTAAGTTTATGATTTGTGCTTTACTGTTTGTTAACTAGAAGACTTGTTATTGTTTTAAATTACTATAATAACAAGAAACAAATTGTAAACCACAACCCCTACAGTTCACCAGACAGAACTAACAATACAATTTTCTTCAGCTGATCCATAAGGATGACAAATCTACTAAGGAAGTATGTTTTATTTATAATTTTACTAAGTCAATCAAAATAAACTCAGAAACCTTCAAACCTTGTAATTTAAGGTGTAAACCAACAGTAAGCTTTTTATTTTAATTATCTGTTTAATCAATTGTTATTAATTACCATTTTATAAAGCTACGATTAATTAATTATAATTCAACGCAGAATCTTAAATTTCATTGCTTACCAGATAATCTGGTTTGAGAAGAGTTCTCCGTAGTTTTGAGAGGAGAGATAAGGTTCAGTGGGTTCAGAGGAGTAGAGCTGCAGTGCCTTACGGATACGCTCCCTCAACACGTACAACGCAGGATTGGCTTTCATGATCTTGGCCATAGCTTGTTGTATCAGCGGTTTGCAGCCTGGGTACCAGTTGCCGTAAGCACTATAACAAGTACAACAGGTTAAATTACACTTGTACAGAACTGTTTATTCATCATATTATTTAAGTTTAATAAAAATAAACCACTAAAGCCACTTTTAGGAAATGAAATCAGGCATTCCGGCTGATATACCAAAAAAACATAATAGAAATGGTTGTTATCTATATGCTAGTGTAGGTGCTTCTTGTAGTTGTGGTCCAATACTTCTAGCTATTAATATAAAAATGTTCAAGCTTCATACAATTTTGACAGTAATATTCTCTTTCAGGGACACCAAAAAAGGATTTTTCAATTTTACTAGAGGACCCATGCTGCTTGGCAGCGTTAAAATAGATATAATATCCAAGAAATGATCATATTTATGATTTTGTTTGATTACAGTATCTTGAGCTTAACTGATTCAAACGGTCATTAGCTGAAATTAAAGCCTATGATTTACTGATTATTTTGAGTCTAAAACATAAAGAACATTTGTTTATGATTTTTAATCATAAACAATTTTTTATGAAAAATAATTTTTATGTTGGTTGTTCACCTTGCGTTTGATTGAAACTCGTCTGATTTGATAATAGCTTAAATGAAGGCCAGTATTTTACTGAAGGTCCTTAAACTAAAATATATAGGATTAGTAAAAATTAAAAAATAAATCAAACTATGTGTTGATTTATTTTTTGCTTGTGAGACCTCAATCATGAAAATCGGTCGGGTAGAAGAGCCAAACAAACTCGGTAAAGAGAAACCAAATTTAACTCCCATAAGAAATACATGGGGAGCAATTTTCGTTTACGTATCAACCGAGTGATACTATAGATAATTATATGCCTATGCTTGATGGCTAATCTGTGCGTGCATACAATCAATTTGAGACCTCAATCATGAAAATCGGTCGGGTAGAAGAGCCAAAGAAATTCGGTAAAGAGAAACCAAATTTAACTCCCATAAGAAATACATGGGGAGCAAATTATGTTCACGTATAAACCGAGGGATACTATTAGGGGTGTGCGAAAAGTGATTTTTGGGTTCGAATCGAATCGAATACTTCATAATATTTTCGAATATCGAATATTACCGAGCGAATATTTATGTTATTATGATAGACTCAAAAGAATTTTCCAATCACAGTTTTGGAACCCTACTAAGTAATTATTAATTCTGATTTTAACCAATGTAACATTTTAAAATAATCGATTTTTGCCCTTACCTATTTTATTTGTTCTTGGTACAAAATGGGTACAGTACAGGGCTTCCAGTATTTTTCTCATTTTATTTAATTGATATTACTATAAAAATGAATAATTTCCTACATTTATGGTTTTCTAACAACAATTACAGTATCACACATTATCAACACCTTTGGCTCCTAACATGATTATGTCAAGAAAAAACAGTTAAGATAAAGGCTTAATCTATTTTACAACTAAGATAGGTCATAGCATGTCATAGCCATAATAAAGTAGTTAAAAATTAGGTAAAGCATTTTTAGGAATAAACATGTTTGCAGCAACATTTTGACAAAATAATGTAACACAACTGGTTACTTTTTTCCAACCAACACAATAACGGGTTGTTTATTTTAAACTTTTAAAAACATATAAATGCATTCAGTTAGGGGTCTGCGGTGCACTGAGGTACTAGCCTAATTACCTAGCGTAGTCGGTTCCGGTACAGATTATAACAATTAATTACTTTTAATTCACTGTCGTTGGTTAGGAGCACATAAAAAGGTTTATCAGATGATTGTTTAGGATTTTAATAATTTATTACTAGAGTTGTGGGGCAATAAAAAACCATTAGCAGTCCCAAAACCGAAAACCATTAATGACGACATTGTTGTAGGCAAGTCAAGTACTTCCAAGAACTTGTTGAGTCAGTAGTTTTGCTCTACAAAGTTAAAAAGTTTTATCACTTTTATTCCTTTACGACTTCCATGATTTATTTAATTTAATGTTTAAAGAAAAAGTCAGAATAGAAATACTAGTAAGGCAAAACAAACAATAGAAGGGTGGGATGGGTTGGACAATGACCTCGAAAGGAGCGGGCCACTGTGAATGGAGATATCGAGGGGGGAGGGGAGGTTGCAACCTTGAAGCTATATTTACACTAGAGGGGTGGCTTGGCCTGGGATTCTAATAGCAGGACAATGATACATAGTTGTATTTTCGGGAATCCTTTGCCCGGTTTGACTTCAGATTCTCGTTTTCCGTGTAGAAACTTTGAATCTTCAAAAAAATAATTTGAATTAACTACAAATATATTCAAATTAATGCCATGATTTCCAATTTTACATCAACATTGCACAATCATGAAATTTAGGTCATTGGCCTTTATGAGGCATCTGGTTGTGTTGTTTCAGAAGAGAAGCAGAGACAAAATTGTGTAACAAAACAAGAAAGTAGAGTTAAAAAAAAGAGATTTCTCTGTTCAAAAAGGGGAAAAAATGTTGCTGATTATTTTCATAGAAATTAATTCACGAGTTCGTGTCTTGTTAAGGAGTATGTTTAATCTATGCTAAAGACTGTGAAGTGCAGTTCTATCCTCATAGCTTACTAGTTGCTACTCAGACAACACTTTCAGACACGAGACTTATTTCGTAATTCTACTATACTTTAAGTTCACGTTACAAAAAGTAGATCCTAGTATTAACTAAGCTAAAAGAACATATTTAAAATTTATACAAATAGATATCTGTCTGGTAAACTAATACAAACTTAATTGCTGCTAAATATAGGCTATTGTTAATTAATCAAATAAGAATGGTTGACAGTCTTGTGTTTCCATGCCAGTAGGTTGCAGTAAGCCTATTGTATTGGAGCATTGTAAGCTAGCCAGCTGAGCGGAGGGATTTTAATAATCACACAACAAAATTATCGTCCTTGAAAATGGTCGTGTTCGTGTGTAGAGTTAAGGAAGATGTCATAATATGCTGACGTTGCTGACGAAGCATGAAATGTTGGGATGACAATACCATGATTTAACAACAACAAACAACACAATGCCATGATTTATTTGGTTGAAATTAGAGATTATTGCTAGGTTTATTTACTATTCGAATGTTCGAATATACTCATTCAGATCGAGTCGGGCTCGAATACTAAAGTATTCGTTTAACTATTCGAACTTTTGAATATTCACACACCCCTAGTTAGGGGTGTGCGAATAGTGATTTTGCACACCGCTTTTTAGAAGCTGGACATAACACTTTTCTCTTAGAAGGCCTATATAAAGTGTAGAATTTTTACCTTTTTCAGCTACAGTAGAATGTCTATAATCCGGATTAATTGGGACCAGACCCCATTAGGCAAGTGGCTAGTCACGTGGCCTAGACCAAATTATTTAGGATGCCCTATATATTCATTGCTCAAGTCATTAACAAATAGATGATGAAAGTAGCGACTGAGTGGAGATTATAAATTGCATCTATAATCTAGTAAAAGTAAAAACTGGTCAAGATTATTATTGTCATGAAAAAATAATAATGGTAGTACAGTAGAGGGTCAAAAATCCCAACTGTCAAAAGTCCGAACAACTCCTGAGGGTTTTAAAATATTGGATTAGCACAGAGACAACAGATGTTTTACAATTTCGCGGGCCAAACAGTCAGCGCCCGGCAGGGAAATGAGTGAACGTGCAGAGCCAGTCTGTGTTTTGTTTGTTTCCAATGTAAAAACTCTACATTTTTTTTCAAGAAACAAATTAAGTAATGTAACAAAAATGTACAAAAATAATTGTTTTTATTTCACTGTATCCTAGAACTGTATTTTTAATACTGTAGGCCTAACTATGTGTCTATTAGGCATTTCTAGGCTATGTTTGAAAATCCGAACAAATCGGTTATCTGAACTACCTACGGTCCCAATTTGTTCGGATTTTTGACTCTCTACTGTAATTGCTTCTATAATCTAATAGAGGTAAAACTGGACAAGATAATTATTGCCAAGTTGAAATATTAATGGGATTGTAATTGCATCATTATTCTAGTAAAAGTTGTGACCAAACATATAATAAACCATTTATGAGCTCCTATCCAACTACCACGATCAAAAACAAATTATTGCATGGCAACCGATTAATGCACAACAACCAATATAAACCACGACTTTTTATGTCAAGACAATAACCCAGTTTTTCTGTCAAGCCAAAAACCAACATCCCTAATTTTAACCCCTTAACTAGCAATTCAATCAAGACCAAGGGAAAAACAAAATTGTCTCCAAATGTCTTGAAGACTTACCTGTGTAGGTTGTAGGCAAGGTCTATTGCTATCAGCACGCCCGTAGGTGATGGGTAGATTGACATATTGTCTGTGGTATAGTCCAGGAACTTTGCTCTGGCATATCTCTCCACGTCATGAGAGTCGTAGTCTCCCCATCGTAGCTGCACATCTATCCAATACTTCTGCGTCGTTGTATTGTCCATTGTATCTCTGAAATAATGTTTCTCCTATTAGCTTAAGTCAACAACCCTTATCATTGGTAATTGTTATAAAATCAATTGACACTTTTGGGTTCAGCTGAAAATTATAAGTCAAATGGGACCAAACGATTATTTTGCTTAACTAATCTAGAAGTTACAAGTATTTTCATCCCAATTCCAAAAACTATTTCTTGTAATGATCATTTCGTATTTGGCCTCAATTTTCATGGAATTAAAAAAAAGTGTAATAGAAAGCATTTGATTGTACAGGGTGACACAAAGGAACCGGACGTTTTTTAGATAAGTACAGTAGAACCTCTTTAATTCGAACATCCACTAATCCAAACTCCTCATTGCTGTACTCTATACACAGTACAGCAGTTCTTTATTGTATACTGTATTTAATTTACAGTATTGTTTATTCACCATGTTTACTACTGTATTAAATTAACACTGTATTTAACTTTATAAAACATTTTTTCACTTTTCCCAAAATAGTTTTGATCAATTTTAGCCATGTTTTAGCTATTGTTATGTAAAAAAAACAATATGTTCTGTAATCCGAACTATTCAATAGTCCGAACTACCCCTGGTCCCAATTAGTTAGGATTAAAGAGGTTCTACTGTAGTACACATTAGTTAAATGGAATAAAATGGTTTTAATACTATATATAGTGAGCTAAACATTTGCCATTTGTTACCAAACAGTCATATTTAGAAAATGATGTCACGCATATGGCAGTCATGTACTTCACTACAAAAATATTCATTCTGGTCTGAAAATCATCTGAAACTCGGATCAGGAGGTCTTGTTCAATGCCATTGATCTCTCCTGTGATTGCCAACTTCAAATCCTCTAGAGTGCGTGGTTGTGAGCATAAACACACTCCTTTAAGAAACCCCCAAAGGAAGTAATCACAGCTGGACAAGTCAGGTGACCTTGGTATGTCACCAAAGCGAGAAATCACCTTGTTAGGAAACATTTTCCTCAAGACTCATTTATTGGTCTGCAGTGTGGGCTATAGCACCGTCCTGTTGAAAATAAACCCTTCTTCGGTTTAATTGATGCCTGTGAAGTTCTTGACAGAGAAATGTGTTCAACATGTGAACATAGCGTTGAAGTTCACTGTCACTGGCACTGTAAGGCTAGCAGTTCAGAGTGTGGGAACTGACTGAGGCATTTATGTATCTGCAATTCTAAAATGGTATAGGGAAGGAGGGCAAACAGGTCTATGACGTAGGGAGTGGTGAAGGAAGTAGTAAAGGTGAGCAGTGTGGAGTTTGGGAGTGGATTAATGTATCTTCAATACTAAACTGCTTTCAGAGTAAACTAATGATTTTCCCCGAGCAAAGCTTGGACCCCAGGTACTTGTAATACAGCAGTCTTACTTTGAGTCGGCTAACAGAGAGGGCCTGGAGACGTTCCACTTATAAGCAGCAAACAGCAGAATGTCAGCACATGAAGAGTTCATCTTGTACGACTTACGAGGATGTATAGTCTCCTTCTGTACTGTCTCTATCTCAAGGGCATCCAGCTCTTGATCAAACACCTGCAACACACAAGAGAATGTGGTGTTGAATAGATGGACCACTTGGTGATTGTGGCAATGTTGTGACCAATAATGGAATATCTTCTACAATTGGTTTGATATAGCAAAGTTTTTAAAAAAAGAACCAGGTTCTTCTTGATACAAAATTTACATAATGAATTGAGTATATTAATGACACTTCCAGCATACCTAACTTAACCCATGTGTGTTAAATTTTTAACGATAAAAAATCATTTTCTGATTTAAAAGGTAGTCTCGTACCTGTAACATACAAAAAAAATTCCAGAAAATATTATTATTTTTGAAGTCCTAATTTTGATCTCACCTGACAAAGATCCATAACAATTGACTCATGAACTTTCTGCCACAAGTGAGCTCTGAAGATCTGAATCAATGAGATCTTGAGTGTTGGAATTTTTCCATGCATGAAGATACCTGTCAGGTCAAGTTGTACCTAAAATCAATGGTTGTTAATTAACATTACTATTCTCATCTTACGTATTAAAACGAGTGTCATAGAAATGTTTATCTTGATTCAAGAAGGTTGGTCTAGAATATCAATTGTAAGGCGAAAGAGACCAGCAAGGTTATCTTGATTTCAACAAAGATCTTTTTTTAGAATTACAGAATGCCTTCTGTTGAAAATAAAATAAAATATATAACATAATGTATTTTGTTGTAAAAAACTGACGTGTCATATGTTTACTGGTGTATCACAATCATGTAAATTCTATGTGACGAATAGTAAAAATTTTTTTTCATTTCATTTTAATCTAAGAAACATTTGATTGTTAGTTTATAACCCAGCAATTTATATAGAATTTTAAATGTATGCAATTTCTTTGATAAAGAACAAACCTGGAAACCGACGTACACATTAGCCCTGTTGATCGTAGGAGACCACCATAGGGTGAACCGACGGTTGGGAATCTGGTTCAAACCTGACCTCTGGGCGTTGGTTAGTTTCTTGTACTTCATGGACTCTTCGAACCCAGACGCCTTTTCCCTATACAATGTGGTAAATATTATTGTAAATAATGTATCTTTTGAATTAGAATACTAAATGCTGTTTTTTCCATATATATTTCAGCCAGTGTTCTATTTGAGCGTGTTTGAAGTTTAAATTAAACGTATATCAGTCAATAACCTTAAAAACCCTGAACCCTGTGCTACCCTCTCTTTGGTCGGTCTCACTCAACTTTCTCTACCTTTGTCAAAGATGCATTTGGGGTTTATTTTCTTCTTTTTTCGATTAATATTAGTGATGTGTCAATACCATAATTGATCGATTCTATATACTGATACTATGATGCCTGAAAAATCAATTCTACCAATACCATTTTTGTTTATGTTACAAAATGTTTGTATGGATTGGTTATACAACCCCTGTTTTTATGTCCCCTGTTCTTCTATATTCGCTTAGAGCACACGTTACAACAACTAACTATTTTCAGAGAATAAAAATAATAAAAAAAATATTTTCATAGTATTGTTTAGCCTAAATTAATTTTTTGAGACTGAAAATACAACCTAATACTTAAACCTATAAAACTCTAAAAAGCTCCTCTAATAAATATTTTAGAACGGCCAATGGTCCGAGAGAGTACTGTGTAATGTGGTATGTGGGGTGGTAGCCTACCAGAAGAGACCCTCCCAGGTAGGGAAGTAGGTTCCCTTGAAGAGTGTGTGCTCTAGAATGCCTTCAACTCCACCCAGCGCTTGGATCATGTCAGTTCTGTAGTTGTTGAGGTTCCATAGCTTACCATCGTGGCGCTGATGAGTCCACCAGAAGGGGTTTTGTTTCAGTACCTAAAGCAAACAGGAATTTCTTCATATGTTAGAGTAAATATTAGAAATTTCTTTCAGAAGCTTTCATTGTTATTTAAAATCTAGGCAAACAAGTTTAACACAATCACATACCATAACAATGGAACAGCAAAAACTGTAAAGCAAAAGTAGACATAAATCTGTTTTAGACTTTTAAAAGAGAACCATGTTACAATTAAGGAAATATGGGAATGAAAACATAGCTGAATGTCTTAATTCCAGAACAATCATCAGATTTAAGACTTATGTCTTACCTGGTACTGTTTGAACTCAGTTCGGATCCTCCAGCCCTTGTCATAGGCCAATGTGTGGCGGTCCTTCTGGAACAGAGTATTGATCCTCGGAATACCACGGTCCCAGCTGTCCTCCAAATCTTCCAGAGTAAGTCGTCTACACAATCATATACAGTAGTTAGTTACACAAAAGTACACTCCCACGAATATAAATTAAGGACAACTTTAGACTTTATAGGCTTACCTCCGTCAGTAGTCCAAAATTGTGTCTTATTTCAACTAATGTTGATCAAAGCTGACATGTTTCGTTGCACTGCAACATCGTCGGAGCTTTACGTCAAAAACATCAAATAATTTAAACATAAAATACAACATGGGACACGGAACATTTAAACACGAAATAACACGATAGCGCTAACATGACACGGCACGGCAGCGGTTGTAGGTAGACTGGACACGGGTTATGTAACTTGTTTGAGGCAACAAGAGACAATTAAATCTCCTTCTCAAATATTTAAATCAAATAGCACCAAAATTAGAATTCACGCTTGAAACAGAAGAATCAGACTGCATACATTTTTTAGATTTAACCAAAAGGAAGACTGTCAATGGTTTTGATTATAGCATTTACAGGAAACCAACCACTTCACTTCTGTACAAACAATCCACAACACCTCATACCACCCATATTTTCAAAAAAATGTCAGCATTTAATTCATTGGTCCATAGGATGTTAACAGTTCCATTAAACACAGTAAATTATGAAATTGAATACAAAATTATAAAACTTATAGCTACAGTCAATGGTTATAACAGCGGTTTAGTAGATAGGCTCATCACAAAACATAAAAACAAACAAGGTGTGAAGATTGACAGCTCAGAGAAGAAAAAATATATCTGCGTGGATTATAGTCACACTATCCAACACGCATTTAAGAAAGAACTCACTAAACGAGGCATTGAACTAGCTTTCAAAACTACAAACCGTACTAGAAACGTGTTGACAAATAAAATTGAGAAAGGTGACAAAATAGATAAAACTGGCGTGTATAGGATATCTTATCCGGATTGCCCAAGTAAATACATAGGGCAAACAGGCCGTGCCTTCCAAACACGGTATAAAGAACACCGACCAGATCCTAAACACCATAAACAAAAATCTGTGTTTGCTCAACACCTTGTAGATTTCAATCACTCAATGAGTGATATTATGACCGGCTTGGAAGTTTTACATTATTGCGGGAAAGGTAATAAATTGGACACACTTGAGGAGTATGAAATATATAAAATGAACGTAAACGAAGAACACAAGGAATACATCCTCAATGATAAACTACAGTTGAAGTCCCACTCCCTCTTCAACACTGTTATCTCATCTGGAACAGCTGACCACCGAGCTGATAACAGAGAAGGACGAGACAAAGTTAAATAAAACGTGTCCAGTCTACCTACAACCGCTGCCGTGCGGTGTCATGATAGCGCTATCGTGTTATTTCGTGTTTAAATGTTCCGTGTCCCGTGTTGTATTTGATGTTTTTGACGTAAAGCTCCGACGATGTTGCAGTGCAACGAAACATGTCAGCTTTGATCAACATTAGTTGAAATAAGACACAATTTTGGACTACTGACGGAGGTAAGCCTATAAAGTCATTATTCATAGTTCAGGGACTATCAGAATGAATAATATGACAACTTTAGCTTTATCACAAAACAAAGTTTCCAAACGTTGAAATATAACTACAGAACTGTACCTGTTCTGAGCGTTTGCCTCTTGTCGCTTGAGTGCGTACTCTGCCCACACTCGCTGAGAGTCAATGAACTCTGACTCCCATGGCTGGATGTATCTGTACAAGTTAGGAATGAGTTGGTCCTCATCATGGCTCATACCTGAGCGGAAGTGAGTGATTCCCACATCCGTCTGCTTGGACCATCTCAGGTCAGACTGCAACCAAACAACAGACAGGTCATTGTCATTAGTGAATTATCTGACCAGCAGGTCTAATGTCCATAAACACAATGAATTGTCTATTAACCTAGCTAGCTATACCAGCCATCATTTTAAATCATTGATTTTTGTAGCAATACAGCTTATAATAGTAGTTGTTTACAAAATGTTTATTTCATTATCTGGGAATATAATAATGACATTGTAACTTAGTTCCTCAGAGACAGGTAACTTCTTATCATAAGTGGTAAATGTGATGTATATCATAAGAACAGTTAATTACCTGAGGGATAAGGACGTGTCCCATGGACAACATGCCCAGCCCTCCCAACTCTTTGGGTGTGTAGAACACAACAGGAGGGAATCTGGAGGGCATCTTGGAGTTGAGTCCGATCTTGATACGGGTCTGTATCTTGTTCTCACACTTGACCAGTAGATCCAGCAACTCCTGAGTGTTGACCACAGCTTCTCGAAAGTATGTCATCAGCCCAATCAGTGCAGTGTTCCACTTGTTTACAATCTGCCAACATCAACATAAGTTCAATTCTGACCAAACTAGAGATGTGCGGATAGTGAAATTTCAGTTCGGATCGGATTCGGGTCCGATAGTTAAGGCTCGGTTCGGATCGGATTGGATAATTAGAAGTTCGGATTCGGATAGTTTGACGTTAAAATACTTAATAAATAAATATTAAGGTTGAAGTTATAATTTTCATTGTATATACATAAACTACAATATGAATTGCAAACTATTCACTATTGTCATTTCAGTTATAAAAACTGAAGTTCAAATTCGCAGCTCACTCAACTTCACAAAAAAGAATACCGTACCTTATATTTTGGTGAAACAATTTATTTGGCAAGGCAATGTCTCAGAGTATACCTTGTATGTTGATGCAATTTATATGGCAAGGCTGTCTCTCAGTGTATACCTTATATCTTGATGCAAACAATTTATATGGAAAGGCCGTGTCTCAGTGTTTGTATCTTGATGCAAAGAATTTATATGGAAAGGCATGTCTCATTGTTTGTATCTTGATGCAAAGAATTTATATGGAAAGGCATGTCTCAGTGTTTGTATCTTGATGCAAAGAATTTATATGGAAAGGCATGTCTCATTGTTTGTATCTTGATTCAAATAATTTATATGACAAGGCAATGTCTCAGAGTATACCTGGTATGTTCATGCAATTTATATGGCAAGGCTAAGTCTCTCATTGTATACCTTATATCTTGATGCAAACAATTTATATACAGGGTGTTTTTTTAAGTGTGCCACCATTGGGATCTCAGTAACTAACGATTTTACAGCAAACTTTAAATGGGGAACATTCTCTTGTTTTTAAAGAGGTTCAAAAATAAGGACGCTTGATTGTTTTTGAAAACAAGGTCCTAAGAAAAATATTTGGCCCAGTAAACGATGAAGGAGAATGGCAGATTAGAAAAAAACAGAGAGCTACGAGCGTTATACCAGGACCCTGATATAATAGCTTTGATAAAGGCAAAAAGATTAGGTTGGCTAGGTCATGTATTGCGAAGGGAAGAAGGAACAAGACTGAAGGAAGTATGTTCTGCTGTACCAACTGGAAAGCGTCCACTGGGTAGACCAAAAATGAGATGGTATGACCAAGTTAAGAGAGATGTGAGTCAGTGTGGAGGGACAATAGAGATGGCAGCGGACAGAGAGGCGTGGAAGAGGCTGATCTACGAGGCGAAGAATCGACTGCGATTTGTAGCGCCCCAGCAGTAAAAGTAAAGTAGTATTATTTGAAAGAGAATTGAAAATGCTAAATAAAAGTGTTCTTGGCATTTTTTCCAGAATTAGCCGTTTTTGAGTAATTTAAGTTAAAAAAATTAAAACGGCCGCCATTTTGAAATTTTAAGTTGAATCAAGATGATGTTTTTTGTAACGTGGGGCTCTTTTACATTAACTTAGCCTACATACCAATTTTTATAAAGATCAGTAGAAAAAAATTCAAAAATAAAAATTAGAGATGGGCCGATTCCTGAATTGGTCGATTCCGATACCGATTCCAATTCTACAACTTTGGTTTCGATTCTCGATTCCGCACTCGATACCGATACCTGTTAAAAATTTATTTAATAACACATATAACTTATGATATAACTTTATTTAATCTTTATACAATAAGATAGGCCTAACTGCATTGTATTGATTAAGGTTACATATATTAGGTTAGCCAATAAGGAAAATAAGATAGGTCTATTTCAAGAAGACATGAATTTTAACATATTTTTAGGGGTGGGCAAGTACTCGACCTTCGAGTAATTAGTCGAGTTTTTTCAAATACTCAACCTCGAGTCGAGTAGCAATTACTACTCAAAAATTCGAGTCGAGTAGTTATAAATAGTGCCACTTCACGATTTTCTACACCCATATTTAATAAATTATATTTTGTTTTGTGTTGATGCCTTATTTAATCCCCATTCCTACAAAAAACAACTATCTAACCTCAGGTTAGACCAGCGTAAACCAAATGTTCAACAAACACCCATCGTCATTCGGCGGAGCTAGCAAGAGGACTAGACTACTAACAGACTTTCACTTTCCTACAACAGTCAATAATACGTCTCGATAACGATACAGTAAGTTGAAATAAAGCATTGAATGAATCTATCGAATTGCAATAGTCGATAGTCAACAAGGGAGTCTCGTGAATAGTATAACAATGGCAGACGATTCTTGAAGATATTATAAAGTACAGTATCAGATTTATTTTGAACTGCTATACAAATATTTTATACTAAAATTAGAGGTGTGCGGTTATCCGAAAAATCGGGTCGGATTCGGTTCGGTTCGGATATCCGTATCCGAACCGAGCCTAAATTTGATATCCGATACTATCCGTTATATATCCGACTTTTTCGGATAGACAACATATTTTGACGTTTTGGACAGAAAACTAAATCTTCATAACCATCATTAGTTTCCCTGGACAAAATTACAGCAATACGTTTCCAACGACGACGACGTAACAGCAAAGGACAAAGAAGCCTATATATAGACGACCTTGAAGCTATATATAGACTTGCACTACTTCCCTAAATCTAAAGGACTGGCGAGTGGTATTCCAATCACAGGACAAGATACGTTGTTTTTCGAGTATTCATTGCCCGGTTTGACTTTGGATTGTCTTATTGTGTAGAAACTTTGAATAATCAAATATAAAATTAGAACTAACCACGATTATTTAGTTTTGATTGTGTATATTAAATGATTAAATGATAGGGACCAGGGGAAATATACAAACTAGGGATGGACGAGATTGGATTTTTAGTTTGAGACGAGACGAGACGAGAATTTTTATTTCTCATAAAACTTCGAGACGAGATCGAGACGGGATTTCCCTTCTCATACACAAGGGGAAATACACGTTCAAAATTTTTACCTGATTTTGTAACATTGTTAGATGACTGTTTAAATACAAAAATAATGATAATAGGCAAGAATATTTACAATATTTTGTTAAAAAACATCAGCATAACATTTTTTTATTAATCACGCCTAACTTATTAAAAATGCCTACGATTAGAAAACATAGTGATATCAGTTAGGATAGATTTCAACTTATCCTAAAATAAAATAAATCATAAAATAAAAGCAATATTCATTTTTATAAAATAGTTACTTGATTTGACTTTTTATAGTAATAAAACATTCCTCACACTGCTTACACTTAACAAAACTTCTCAAATGTTATTAAAGTAATATTATTTAAATAATTAAAGTAATATTTACATTTAAAGAATTAATTAAATAAGAACGCCTTCGCAAAGGAAACGCAACTACAACACGCTCCTGTATTGCGGGTATTGCATTGACTTTCTGCAGGCGTTTTTAAATTTAAATTTTTTTTTTATTCTCGTCTCGATAAAAATCTCGGCCAAAAAGAAATCTCGTCTCGTGTAACAAGATTTAAAATTTCCCGAAAATTTCCCGAAATTTCGAGACTTGACCATCCCTAATACAAACTTTTGTCATGATTTGAATTTCAACATCAAAATACAATATTGCACAATCAAGATATTTTAGGTCATTGACCTTTATTATTATACATCCGGTATTGCTGTTTCAGGAGAAACACATTGATAAATTATAAATTGATATTCCCGTGGTTAAAAAGAATTATTTTATAAACCTATAAAACAAAATCATAAAATCTTACATAAAGATAATAACAATAACAGCAATTGTAAAAAGGGTATAAAGATAACAACGTCATTATACTTTCTCTTTGTTCTTCTATTTCTTGGGTTTCCCTTCATCACGCATTCAACAAGTTGCCTAGTTGCTCATGTCGTTATCAGCTTTTGTGACATAGCGCACAACAGGGGATAAAACTTGACGAAAATCGGTTAATTTTTACCTATTATTTAATTACCAATGTACTTGATTGGTAATGTATTAATAAATTGGCCGGTTTTTGTCAAATTTTACACAAAATTTATTGGAATTTCAAGGTGAATATCAATAAAACAATTATTACCAAATATGTTTATTCATTTAAAAGATTGATTTGTGGTATTGGGTTCCCCACTGAGTGCAACCGAGCGGCACTAATGAGGGTTGAAGTGAACAATAGACGGCTTATCAGACCCGACCCTCCCCAGTGGTCTGGAGAAAGCTTGTAAAAAAACTATTGTTGCACAGGCGCGTGACTTGTTGACCTTGGGCTGCTTCAACTTTAATTTTTTCAAATGAACTGTGATGTTTCAAAATCAAAAACAATAACTTGGGACCATACTGCATAACAATAATGGACTGCAATAATTGTTGAATTTAAAATCCATTTTTAACAAACTTATAACTTTTTAACTTTTAAAACTTATCTTGGTATTTTACTTGGGGTAATGAAGTTATGTAGGCTAGAGTAATTCTTGGTTCATCAAGGTTCTACTGAATTATGTTTGGCAGTGAATAAGTGTAGAATGAAATTTATAAATTCAGGGATACACACCTTTTACAGAGTTATAAAGCCTAATTGCTCTAATTAACTTGCCACAACATCAAATCTAGAGCCCAGTTTAGTGTATTAGTGATGTTTTCTAAACTTGGCAAACCCCAAGAATGCCACTTAAGGCCAATAATCTGTTCCAAAAACGTAAGGAAATAAATGTGAAAATAAAATTGAGATAGAAATCCTTGTCTTGTGAGAACCAGGAAACAACATAAAACATAACCTCAAGTAAACAAACCCAAACGTTTTGACATCAGTCCTGCTGAGCTTTTTAAGTGTTGTGTGAAGATTTCGGCTGCTAGTGTACTTAATTCAAGCAACCAACTTTTGAAAATAGATGTTGTGAATTGTGATTTTCAAGAGAGAAAAACTGTGGACGTGGCTAATTTGAAATTTTATGATTCAAAATCGCCATTTATGTTTATTTACACAGCTTTACAGTGTTTTATATGTTAAAAATGCATATGCAGCTTATTATTAACCGCCCCGAACTATCCGAATCCGAAAATATCCGAATCCGAACCTCCCAATATCCAATCCG